GAAGGGAGCTGACCATCTTATAATAGGATTTAACCTAAAGAAGAAAGGAATAGGGACCAACAGTGTAGGATTTGGACTACCCAGGGGAATATATATAGTTTGCTATTTCTTTCCAGACTGCACTGCTCATAGATGCAGCTCAGATCTGGGTCTAGGTGATATACTTGGACTACCTTGTAGACTGGGCCATGGTGCCGCCCTGTGGTGGGTGGCAGGTTGGCGGCGGCAGCGGCTGCGATGGCTGTTGGTGCTGCATGCGATCCTGGAGGCTCCGGGCTTTTCGGATACTGATTTGCAGCTTCTTATCGACTAGGGCTCTGCTGTGAGTGCTAGCGCTGGCATCATGCATGGCAAGTCTTAGTTTAGCTAAAATGCAAAAGAAAACATAGCAGAAAACAAACAGAAAAAAGGAATAAAATTGAAAAAGAAAAAAAAAGAAAAAAGATGCAGCAAGAACATAAAACATGGACCATGCAAATACTGCCACAAAAGAGTTCACAAGGATGCTATTATTTCCATTAATGCACATTCAGCTTAGCCAGGTGTCCAAACATGTTAACTGAAACTAAACCAAAATAAAGTAAAAGAAAATTATCCATGTTTTAGCACAACTTCTCATCCTCTTCACATAGGCTCTTTCCAATCCTACCACATCGATGCTTCATTCTGTCACCTACCTGCTCTTCTCTTGTATCCTCCATACCTGGGACTCCCTTTATGTGCAGGAATACCCAGCTGGGATTTGAGATTCAGCATACGCTTTGCTGGAATGGAAGCTAACAGAGCTATCGCAACAGCTGTATGTTGCGCCCCTTATTCTGCAGTCTGTAAGAGCCAATCTCTAAATGCAAATGCACAGGAGCTACCCACTCTGTCTGCAGCCATTCTATACAGACAGAGGGGAGCATGGGGTGAGACAGCCAGCCAGTCATAATGGAAAAAGACTGAAAACAAAATGAAGTCACATAGCACACATTCTCCAAGGTCACAATGCATTTAAGCACCTCAATGTTCTAATGCTTTTTTTCTTCATGAGTGTCAGGTAGAGCGTGGCTCATATCTGTTAATCCAGAGGACTCAAGAGTGGGCTACCATTTTCTTCCTATGCTACACCCTCCATGAGAAACAGGGGAGCTTAAAGCCCTTTGTAATTTGGCCTGAGGGTGGTGAAAAATTGTTAAGTCAGGACCGAGTGGCAGGGGGAGCTACCTACTAGGTGCTTGCTGAAACGCATCATTTAGCACCAAAAAGGGCACATCAGCACCCCAGTGCTATTACTGCCACAGCGCTGGAGAGAACAACAAAAATGGATGCAAACATGAAAAAAACAGAGATGAAGAGGAATAGCACTAAAACCCCCAAAAGGGAATGCTTGTGAAAATGAAAGATTCTGTCTCCCTGCACGTTCCTAAAGACCAGCTGGATCCCCACATTACTACCTGAACATTTAACGTGATTCAATGTTTCAGACTTTTTTTTTCCTATGATATTAGTAAAGTGACAAAAGCGCAATAGCTCAGGCAGTTAGAGTTACTTACATATAGCTTCGTTACAGAGAGCCAAAGCTGCAGCACAATCCCCCTTCTGCTCCTGATTCAGTGACTCTTCAAAGATTGAGTCTGCCTCCTGCATCGACTTCTCAAAGCCATCACTCCTCCCTGCAATGGGCAGCACCCTTCATTTTGGTTTCATTCATTGCAGAACCCCCACTTACCCTCATCCCATTTGTGATTGCCAAGTTCTTCCACATACTGACTCTTGCAGAGGCTGCACATATCCCAGACCGCATCACCTAACCTTCCCTAAGCAGAAGCACAACTTGAGCACCTCGATATGCTTGAGATCCACACAGTAGAACAATGTAAACCAGATTTTTTCCCCCTCAAATTTTGTTTACTTGAGAGACTTGTACTGGCTTATTACATTATTTTCAACAATCTAAATCAGTACAAAAGAGTCAGTTTAGATGACTTCTGTTAAGTAGGAATTAATCTAAATTTATAATTAAATCTAAACCAAAATATATTAGTAAAAGAAATACAGCTGGTCAGGGCTTTCCTCGCATGTTAAGTCCCCCGCCAAAAATTGTCTGTCTTCTTCAGATACCCAATTACTTCCACGCAAAATGGAAACAAACCAAAACAACCAAGATGTCTAGATAATAAAACTCAGACTTGAGTGCCAGTGTAAATGCCTGCACGAAATACTTCTACAAACATGTGTTCAGTGCACACACTTAACTGCTGAAAGAGACATATGGAATATGAAAACCCAACGGTCTTGCATCTTTAGGAGGAGAAACACAGATGTGAAGCTGAGAAGAAACGGACAATTGTCAAGAATTTTTTTGCAACAATTTAGAAAACAGCATTGAAGAAGAGAAGAATAAGTCAACCTTGGACACAAACAGCAAGATGAAACACTGAGTCCTGGCATCAGAACATCCAGTTCTAAGAGAAGGAAATGTCCAAACAATCTGGTGTCATCTATTAGGCATGATGCACGCAATTCACTACAGTGTACACATTCAAATGAGGCAGGGAAAAACAGTAAATAAAACTTGACTTTCTGTTTTGTTCAGGGGTGGGGTGTTTTTTTATGGAGCTTCTCTGTCAGTGTGGTAGAGAACGTGAGTTCTTTATCAGTCGACAATAAATTATGCTTTCTCAACTTGTATAACACATGCTATAGCCTGGCCTGCTCCCCAACACTCTCATGCACAGATGCAAACACAAACTCTCTCATACCATAAACCTCAAAGAACTCGCATGAAAAGCAAGTACTGCAGAGAGAAATAAGAGCTGTTAGAGCAGTGAGTTAATCAAGCAGCACATTCAGTTTCAAAATCAAGGCTATTGAGGCTTGTAATCAAGGCCAGGATACCAAAGTTTGCTTTCTTTGCGTGAATTTAGCAGTTTACTTGAGGGGAAAATGCATCACAAGTGTTCTGGAGTTCTGCATACAAGTAAGCCTTCCAGGCAGTCAAGCAGTCTGTTAATGTTAAGCTATAACATCTCTGACTGGGGTGGGGAAAGACATAAAAGGAACAAACAAAAGCTTTCCCAGATCTAAAGTCAATGCCTGTGAACTCCTCAAACATTCTACTGAAGTCTTTTTTGATTAAGCATTATTCTAGTTTACTTTCTTTTTCACAAGGAAAAGCTAAGCAATTTTTGCTTCTACCAACTAATACAACAAGAGATCAAAGGGGTAATGTCTTAGAGCATATGCTATTTTCTTTCGGGCAGAAGAAGCAGAGAAGACAATATCCTCATGCTTAACAACAGAGGTTTACACTTCAAGTTTTACTTCATTAGCATTTATGTCACAGAAGTAAACACTAATACTAATAAAAAAGATACCTGCCTACTCTGGTACATCAGAATTTTTTACCTGGTCACTGGCAGGTCACAGCAGGACTGTACAGGTTAACCAAGTGGCTCACTCATGGTTAGCAAAAATTATAAAAACATTCCCACAGTCAGACATTCTCATAGAGATCATATTTTCCAGCTGCCATTGGCACAGTGACATTCTGGCTGCTGAGCAGCTAACATGGCTGTAGGCTGCAGAGCACTAGCTGCATCGTGCCCAGAGCTGTCATTGCTGTGGGGTGCCCCTCTCCTTCCTCTCTGTCCTGTAGCAGCAAACCAACACCTCAACTCTTACCTACAAGTTTGAGCAAGCAGCATGGGGATGTCAGGAGGTCTGGTAATACAGGTGGCCACAGTGGGTTTGCCCTGACCATACAAGGCATTTCTAGGAGCAGAGCCTAGGTGTTCACTACACCTTCCTCGGGTCTGCTGACCCACCAACCACCCACCACCCCCTAACCCCCCACCCTGTTAAATGCTCTACCAGGCTTCAGGGTTCACTCTCGAACTGGGTCAGTACACTTCATCCCACCTTCTCTCTGACTCCCCTTACTGGCTGATGCAGATTTAGGACTAAAGCAAAAGGTGCTACATGTGAATCCTTTCACCAAGTTCCCTCTGCTGCAGCTCCATCCTTCCAATCAAACCTCTTCTGCTGCCATTCCCTGCCAGAAACATCAGGAGTCATGGAAAAGACAATCAGTATTTGGCTTCTTAATTTTTTTTCCAATTCTTTTCCTTAGAAAAGATATGTAAGCTAAACCCAGCTCAGATTTTCAATTAGATCCAGCTTAAGTCTACCAGAGTACTTGTTCCTACACCTGTGATTTGACCACATAGCTGGGCAGGGAGGAAGAGTGGAAAGTACAAGGGCAGGAACAAGCAGAATTGCTTAGGGCAGTGATGCTACCAGAAACAATCAGTAACAAAACAATGGCCTAAATGAACAAGCTATGCTGCAGGTGGACCCAAGGCATCTGAAAGGTACAAACAGCCCTGCTCATTCCAAGAAGTTGGTTGAAGCCTAATAGCTAAATCTAGATACCAATACCAGTAATGGTGCAAATTACCATAAAAATGGAAAGGTGCAAATATATTAAAAACACCTCTGCATTACTTTGTTGTCTCCTTTAAGAAGGAATTTGGTCAAAATATCAAACACAGTTGCTTTGCATCCTACAGATTTGAAATTTATGGTCTTTCACTTTTGTACTGTAGGTACAAAATTGGCACGGAGCGGGAGAGAAGGAGAGGGAGAGACACTTACAATAGGAAATTAAGTTCAAAGGTTCAAAAAACTTCAGCACTACAACCTCACAAAATATACCGCATTCAAAAAGTTACCCTGATTCTGCAGTTCATCTAGATCCATGAACCTGCTGGGACGGGGATTAAAGCCCATTGCTGCCTCCATTTCCTTTTCTCTTTTTCTGCGTAGTTCTTGTTCATGTGCTCTCCTTGCCACCTCCTCTTGCAATTCATCCAGTTCACTCTTTAAAGGGACAAACATCTCTCCACCTTCCAAAAACAAACAAACAAAAAAACCCAAAACTTTTTTGATAGTAAAATCTCTCAAACCATCCCTTAAAAGACAAAGAAATACTAATGGAGAATATTTCTAATTAACATTAGAAAAAAACAGGCTGACCAAGCAAAGACCACAGAATTCCATATCACAAATTTTGCTTTGTTAAAGCTGTTTGGTTTCCAATTGCCTTCTCTGTCAGTGACTGGCAGAAATGCTGTTGTAGTCTTCAAGCTCCTCTGCAGCACAGCCCATCCCTGGATTCACTGACCCAAGAAACAGTAAATGGAACAGAGAGAATCACTGGAAGAGATAACTCTAAGCTGATGCTGAAATCTTGAGGCTTCTTACTGTGCTCATAATTTGTAAATAATGCTATGTCAAATTAGCCGGATTGTTAGCTTTAGTAAGTAAAATGATTCCAACTGAGATCCTTTTCATCTAACCACATAAGCAGGAGGAAAATAAAAGCGTATCAATATCCTTCTCAACACAGTAGAACTCAATCAGTCATCATTCTCACTTCAACTATGACCTGTATTCCTTTCCCCAGACATCCTCTGGAATAAAGTATTTGCTCAGAACGATACATAATCAGAATGCACATCTGCAGAAAATCTCAGCCTTAGCCCAAAAATCTTTTAAATGTCCATTCTCATTTCTAACAATTTTGAATTTTGTATAGCATTATGAGCATGTTTTCAGAACCTATCAATCTTACTAAGTTATTGTAAGTTATGCTTGGAAAAGTACTTTCCACTGTTGGCAGAATACTGAGTTATGGGAAAGAACAGGAAAAATAGCTTTACTTTTTCAGTTAAGTCAATACTCAAAAAAGATGCCAGAGCAACATGATCAAAGGAGTATTTCAACAAAGTTTTTTGCAACGCCCTTTGGTAGAACTTATATTATGTAAAACTGGGCTATGTTCCTCAATGTTTCTTTTACCTTTCCTCATAATTTCACTCTGAAGATAAACATCCAGAAAGTAAAGAACGTCTCCCATACAATTTGCCTCGCAAAACCACTGCTACTGAGGAACTGTATCTTACCATTTCCAATGGTGTGTGGGCTGTTTGCCCAGCTCCCAATTGATGAAGTAGATTCCACTTCCAAGATGCTGCTACTGTGAGACTTTGGGATGTTACGCCAGGCAGGAACCAATCCACCTGCTCGCTTCATATGAACATCCCTCCAAGAAGAGAGTAATTATTGTTTACCATTTCACTAATCTCTCCAGAAGAAATTATATCTACCTTGTTTTTTTAATAATCACATAAATATTTACTTGCATTTTAATTTCATTTGAAAAAAAAAACCTACTATAAGAAAATCTTAGAAGAAACAGGGCGAGAGAAAGTTAAGAGGGAGGACAATAATTCTATTCTCCTCCATAACAGTATGCAATGCATAGTAAAACTGTGGTCTGATAGCTGTTCTCAACATGTTCTTACAGCTGAAAGGCTACTATTCTGGCCATAAACAGTCTCAGTTTGTGATTCCCTGAAGCTTCCTAAGCCCAGGAGAGAAACACATTGTACTGCCTATTTATTTCTGCATATAAATGTTGCAAGTGTTCTATGAACCTCTCAAACTGAAAATGCCGAAAGATTTCTCGACAAGACTAATGATTGACCATTTTGTATAAGGCTTCTATCAAGCAATGCTTTAACTGAAACAAAAAGGTCTATGAGCTGTTCAAAGGACAAGCACAAAACTTGGTATTTTAGCTGAGTTTTTAAATTACAGACTAAGGGTAAGACTACTTCAGATGCATCATTTTAGTCAACATTTCTCATTCAACTAACCCCCTTTTCCTTCTCACTAGCAGTAAGCTATCAATATACTGACAAGGAAACTTACTCAGATTGCTATTTCTCCTCTATTTCTCCCCTACCCCAATAAACCTGTATTACAAGCTAGGAGCACCATTTTGCATTTTTTAAGAAGTGTTCTACACAATTATGTAACTACAAAAAAGAAATCAAGACTTCAAACACTCCGAAAATGAAGTTTGTTGAAATCTACCTGTGGGTGGTTGAGCTTTCAGACAAGGGCATGTCCAGACTAACTGGGCTGTTGCTGTTGCGTTCACTGCTTTCATAGCCAGACTCCATCCTCTGTATTAGACGAGGATGTTGATCCACCATATGACACTGCGTGCCCCAGCCTAGCATACCATGCTTGTATCTGACATTTGACTGGCTTGATCTTGTGTCTTGAACAGCACGTTCCTTCACCTCATTCTCAATAAGGTCTTTACCTGTCACGACAAAAGAATATAGCTTGGTAGAAGATCCAAGATTCAATAACAGCAAATCATCTATATATGTTAGCTTTTCAACCGTGTTTAAACCAGAAGTGCTGCCTTTAATTTAGTGCACAACTAGCAATGTTAAGCAGAAAAAACCCAATACTTTTACAGCATTCCTAGTAATAGTAAGCAATAACCTGTTCAACACATTTTTTTTTTAATCCCTCCGCTTTAGTATAACTTACCATATTCCCCCCCAGGTAACAATCAAGTCTGGAAAGAAAATCCCTTCCTCCTCATAACAATTTGTATTTGTACAAGATCATTTTACAGTATACCCAACTGCATTTCCAGTTTGTACTCGTTATTGTACTCAGTTGCATCTACTTCAGACACTGTATTTTTTACATTGTTTATTTTGCCATTTACAATATGATGAAGCTTATCTAACAGTAGTTCACAGAAGACAGGAAAAATTTTTCTTCTTTTTTTAATTCTTCCTTACTGATTTCACTATGTCTTCCCACTTGCCTCTTGTTTGCTCTCCTTGCTTCCTTCCCTGGAGCTATGTTCTCTTCTCCCTTCACCTTCACCTTACACGTATTTCTTTATGCTTTCCAATTCTTTTCAACCTTTAGCTCCTTCTAGCTGGCATCATCTGTGTCTCCCTCTCCCCTCAGGCCCCCAAATTTCTGCAACAGTATCTTCACTAACCACAACTCTACTGCCACGCACACAAACCTCGTCCTTCTCATCCACACACTGGCCTTCAAGTACTCAAAGACAGGAGTGCAGCAGCTCCAGTAGCATAACAGCATAAAACCTACGAACTGGTAAACATCTGCTCTCCACACGTTTTACAGTTTCAGGAGAACCCTCCTCTTAACAGGGAACAAACTAACTGTTACATTCATTTGCAGACTGGGAAAACGGAAGTCGGGGGCTGGGGCAGGGGCAACAAAAGATACTCCAAGTTGTTTCACAATGGATTTTATTACCTTCAGAACCTGCAAAGCTAAGGACAAAGTCACTTTGTTCAAGTTGCACAGCTGCTATGGTGTAGAATGGTCCCAGATAAATCATCACTGGCCATCAGGCTCTTATTCTCACAATACTCGAGATACTCACTATACTATAGTCTGAGCCATCATGTAAAAATACCATAAGCCGCCCGAGAAAAAAAAAACAGACCAATACAAAAGGCCATTCCAAAGGATGAACTTCCAGATTCTTAGCAGTCTAGCCCTGCGTCCATTTAAGCAGCACAGATGGTGATTTATTTCCTTACATGGGAAATTCAGCACACAGAAAGCAAACGAAAGTATCACACAGGCAACACGAATACCCACACCGAAACTAGCGTTCAAGGTCACAACTCACCACTGACCTAAATGCCACGTTCAAAATGTCACTTCCCTACTTTACTTAAACAAAAATGGATAATGGAGTATCATAAATTCCACACATTCTGAAATAAACGTTTCTTCTCAAACTCTTACCTGCTTCTTCAGAGAAAGGGCTAAGTTGAGTGTAGCCACAATGTTTCCTCTTGTCTTTACTGAAGATGCTGTCTATATTCAGAGACTCTCTCTTGGGTCTCCAGGTTGGCCGGTACTTGCTAGATGAACTGGATTTAGACTCACTACTGGTACTCTCCACTTCCCAGTCTCGAGAGTGTGTAGACAAGCTTTTTGAGGGTTGTGTTTCTGCCTGATCCACACTACTCCCTCCACGAGGGGAATTCTGGATAGTTTGAGAAATCTGCTGTGGTCTGCTGTGGATCATATTGCTTACTGTCTCTTTAAATTCCCTCAGCCTGCTGGTGCTGCTGGATGGTTTGGGGGCAGTTCTGGGGGCTTGTTTCTCCTTCAAGGTTTCTCCTGCAGTTTATAGAGACAGCAAAAGCCACAAAAATAACTCCAGATTAAACTAGCAGCCCTACTTGCAGCATCTTCATGCAGATTTTGAAGTGCAAAAATCAAAACCAAAAAAACTCCAAAAAAATCAACCAACACCCTCCAAACAAACAAACAAACAAAAGACAGGACAAAATACGGACAAAGATAAAAGGAACAAGGAGGGAAATGCATGTACACACCAAGGATCTTGAAAACATGCAGAAAGAGATATTGATAATTAAAATAAAGTAACATCTCTTGCCTTCACTATGGTATCCTGATAACTGAGCCTCATCTCCTTTTCGCCGAGACCGGCTAGAACTCCTCTTGCGGTCTGCCAGCGAGCCCTTTTTCGAAACATGCCTCTGATTGCACTCGCTGTCAGTCAGGTGCCCTGGAAGGACAGAAGAACACAGCAGAGATGACAAGAGCCTTTGGACTGAGTGTTCTGTGCGTTAAGAGCAGCAGGGCTCTCCTGCTCCTTAGGAGCTGCAGACACTCCAATGCTAACTGGCAGGTTTGGGTAAGTTTTTGTATCAAGAAGTTTTTGGGTTTGTCTTGGGGAGGGTGTTCTGTTTTCAAGGTCATAAAAGAGTAATATGGCCTCTCCAAGAACTCTGGTTAATGAGAGCTCATATACAGGGAGAGGAAAAGTTGACTCTGCCTCGTCTTCTAACAGTCTAAGGACATCACTTTCTTGCTGTCTGAATACTTTTTCAGTTTTAACTGCCATGAACACGAAACTCCTGAGGACAGCTTGCTTGACATTACTCTTGAATGATAACTCAAACACATGAACGAGATAACCATGTAATAATAAATTACTGCACATCATCAGCTGCTCTGCAGTAAATATCCATCTGCACTCTCTCTGCCTGTAGCAAATACTAAGTAATCGGAGTTAGCTTAGTCTACAGTGAAGAAGCCTCAGTTGGCTCTCAAGGCTAAGCCATCCAATTCACATCTGCCACAAGCTTAGAGCATACACACAAACCATCAACATGGATCAGCTGACACACAACAATGTTCCCTTACTACAGCTCAAGTGCCCAAGTGCTAATCATTTTCTTGCACACAATTCATTCCCCATTTCCTCACATCAAATGTGAATTAAGAGTATTTGACATCACAAGTTTTCTGTATTGCCTTTTCTTAATTTTATGGTTCTCACACACTCACAGTCCTAAACCTGCAAGCACAAACACACACAAGGCTTTACTCACGTGAGTAGTCCCAAGCAGAGATGCAGGATAAGAAGGGAATTTATGAATAAGCTACAAAGACTTTTCTCTAGCCTTTATATCACCAACTTCCACCTGGCACAGGATGACAGGAAAGGAAAATCCCTACTACCCAATAGTGGATTAACAGCCCCCCAACTACATAGCTGCCTGTTCTGAGCTTTCCTCCTTTTCTAGAAATTAACATAAAAATCAACAACATTTAAAGCAGATTCTACACATAAAAATTGTACCTTCAACAGCTGAAAAAAATAATTCACTTCAACTACAGCTGTTAAAAAGACACTACAATAAGTGAGTGGGAAGGAATCCAAACAACAAAAAAGCAAGCTACACAAGACTCACATTTCTATTCATTTGCAAAGTGGAGAGTGATTTTGTAGCCAAATTCTTTAGAAACAAGCAAATTAAATAAAAGAAATTGAGGAAGTAAAAAGAGAAACGTTGGCAGTGAAGATAGAAGATGTGCACCATTTGGGTGACTGAGCATGAGGCAGTGTTTTGGGAGATATTTTTTTTCTTCACAGCATGGACTGTCACACATGGGACAGTCTTTCTTTTAGGGACAGAAAGAACAGTATCTTGTACCTTGTAGTGGTTCCCCTCAAGATAAGAGAGGCTTATGTTTGACTTCGGAGTGTACAACTTCTCTAGTTAAACTTTTTTCCCAAAATAATTCTTTCAACCTGATAGGGAGCACTTGGTTAGCATCCTTCAAGCACTGTAACAGAAACTGTTTGAAGATATTTAGTGGTACTGGAGCTAGCTTAGGGTCTGGATAGACTAATCAGAGCCCAACTTAGCCTTGTAGAATGAAGGCTGCTAGCTTTGCATGTGTATTTTCTCCTTTCATAAATCGCAAATTTTGTCCTGTTGTCACTGGATATTTAATAGCCACAAAGGGGATGCCAAGAATCAAAGGTTTACAGGATACAGGCTTTGTTGTCTTTACTTGGACCCTCTGGAACAAAGACGAAATCTGACATAATGCATTAATATAGGAATTAAAATCCCAAGGATATTAGCTAACACTTTACACTTTTTTTTTTTTTTTAATTCACTAAAGTAACAAGCCAGGATTTCTGAGTGCCCAATCATATGCTTAAAAGGTCTCACTTGCTGAATGTATCGCTTAAAATACCTCATCTTCCAGAAGTGGGATGGCTTCATAAGCAAACAGTGATATTCAAAGGAAACATTTGGTTTTGCAGGGGTTGTGTGCATGTCTACGAATATGTTGGAAAAGAGAATGAAATCAAACAGGTTACGACAGAATGCCCCCTACTCCCTCCCACTGAAATCTCAGTTGCACGAACAGGGCAGCCAGAATACGCACATTTTTCTCAGCAGCACAGGTTGGTATGAGCAAGAGGGGGCTTATGCAGCCACCTTTCATGCTCCCATTCCGAAGTACCCAGGTGCCTGAGGTCATACGACCCAATGGTGGTCTTTCCCTGAAGGACGATGTGGGATAGGGTCCATAATTTTCTAGGCCGGAGTAGTGGGTAAATGGCCATTAAATGAAGAATCCTGCTCTTGCCCAGAACGATTCAGTTGACAGGTCAATGTGGATGGCTTCTTTATAGCCCCACGGATCAGCATTTGATGATTGAGTAGTTGTATGAGTTGGCCGACTTTTTTGGAAAGGTTTTGGGTAGGTAAAAAAAAAGGGGAAATGCCTAGACAGGTGGTTACCTAAGAGGACAGATTGACTATAGCTAAGGCTGAATTTGGGAAGATGAGGACAACTGAATTTAGGTGAAGAGATGGGCTAAGCTGAAGGGAATAACATAGGATAGAGTCAGTAGGAGAAGAAAGAAAAAGAAAAGGACAAAGTCACCAAAAATGACAGAACAAAAGGTTACATGCTGAACTTCATGCTTACATGTTTGAAACCATCCCCCTACCCTCCTTTTTCTGTGGACTTCTGCATGGCAAGTTAGGGAGGAACCTAATCCAATAAACTCTATGCCACTTTTGCAACTATATAAACAATATTCAACTAGTATTTTCAATTCTGTCCTCTTCATACCCTGAAGATCAACATCAACTTTATTTCCTCATCACTCAAACTCTGCTTCAACTTTCTCTTCTTACACTCTACCCAGGACTATGACTGGCAGCTACAGTGTTAAGTATTCGCTAAAACATTAAAAGTACTGTTGGGCCACCTAAAACCATGTATTACAATTACTTGGACCTCTGATGAAGAATCAAAGAGTACTAAAGAAAACCAACTTGAAATATTTTTTCAAGATTTTGATGTGAAACGTATTTGTACCATAGATTGTTTCAAATGAAACATATGCACCTATCGCCACAATACAAGAGAGCAACCATTTTGCAACTAAAAGGAAAAAGCTGTACGATAGCTGTTCATGCTGTGGCGCAACAAACAGTTGCTGATTCAACCCTTATGTCATCTTAGAAAGTCTATTTAAGGCACAATAACGTAGCTTTCAAACAGACTTAGCAGATCGTATTTCTGATGCTCAAGAAGTCTGACTTTAACTTGGGCACTACTTTTTCAGAAGTGACGTTAGAAGTTACTGTATGCAGAAACAGGCTGACTAGGGTCACTGGGCATGAATAATTGAGCAGATCTAAGCCTTCAGACTTCCAGTTAACCTCTTTTCAACTAAAGAGTGTTCAGGCAGACTGTTCAGCTGACTGAAGGAACACATATACAGTTGTCTTATTGCAGATTCTCACTTAACTTGCTTCCAGGGCACAGGCAGGAAATCATCTTATGTTCCTCCCAGGTGCAGTAAATACTACCAACCCCCACTTACATAGAAAGTCCTTAGTGCCCAAGTATGACAGATACTGCTGATGAAAGTGCCTTTCCCAGCTGCAATGCCTGCAATGAAGTAACTGCCTGTAGATGAGCAAGTAGCACACACAACACTTACCAAACTGTACAATGGCACTGTACAGACTACAACTTACAGAATTACGTTAACAAAGAAAGCAGGTAGGATTGCGAATAACAGAAAACACGTCAGTAAATGTTTGTATGGCTAGATAAACGTATACAAAAGCCAACAAGACATGTAAAATTACGCTTTTTTTGTGAATGCCAATGGTTCATTACAAACCAAAAACATTTAGGATACTAAACACTGTTTGCTATTCAGTTATAGGTTGTAAATGGAGAGATTTTTCACTGGAATCCACTGCAGTCATTATATTTAATGACAATGATCACACAGATATAATGGTATCTGCTACCTGTGTCCCTGCTGCTTTGTGAAGCTGCATCATTCTCCACATTGTAGATGACTGTCCCCTGCGAGTCAGATGAGAAGTGACTGACCACAGATTCATGGTGTGCCTGTTTATAAGGATAGCTGTCTGTAGAGGAATCTGTCCTGGTATCACTTGAGATGGAAGGTTCTCTCCCTAGGAAGAAAGCAATGTCAAATTTCAGTCTTTTGGGGCTACTATAAGTCAGGAGAGGCTAAAAAAAAGAAAACAGAGGAGACTACACAGAAGTTAACAGAAAAACAGAGTACCATACAAACTCAGAATCAAGGATGCCAGAGCTTATGGGAAACATCCTCTCCTTTACAAGGCAGGGAGAGTGTCATTCCTTCTGCAAACCTTTATTTCTTTCTCTTTGATAACTCCCAATTTATCAAATCCTTTTATTATGCAAAATTAAACTACATCCATTGGACTTGAAGTACACATTAGTACCACACAAATTATTTTTCATTAATTTTTGACCCTGTCAAGTGTAATTAAAATATGAAATACACTGCTTCAGGGGACATCAAAGTTAAAAAATTATTCAAGTGCAAAATATTAATAAGGGTAACAAGAACACCAGAAGTTATAATAAACAACACATTTCATCTATTATGAAGCAAAAGCTTGTCTAGCAAAACTTTATACTGAAACTGTATTATCTAAAGCAAAGCAACTTGTTCCTTCTCAAGAAGCTAGCATTGATCCCCTGCATAAACAGGATACCAAATAGGCTGAAGAACCATGATTCAACTTCAGTACAGTAATTCTTAAACTCATTCAAAGAGGAGAAAGAGACAGCCTCCTACCACCACTTTCCATACATAAAAGTAAAAATCTGAACAGTTTGAAGACTCTTGGCCATTTTTTATATGTCTTGAATATCCTGTATATTCAGGAGTGTATACATTTCATACTCTTTCCTCAGTGGAGAAATTAAAAAAGAAAAAAGAAATTAAAGAACAAAGTCGTTCTTATGTTTAATCGCAAACACTCAGTCTGAGGGCACTTCACTTTTTCAGTGACAGCAAGTCCTGTAGTTGATGTCCTATTTAAGGATGCCTAACAACTTTTGAAGTCAGAAAATTCCCCCTACCTCCTTAATGGTTAAAAATCTTACTGATCCAAAGAAATACAGAATACAGCTGTTAACAGAGACGACAGTCACAGCAAGAAAGGTGAATGTAGGCAACAGAAATCAGTGCTGTGGAACTAGGTACGAGAAAACAATTTGTAAACTCAAGTCTCTATTCAATAGAAAATCAAAACCATGAAGAGGCGTTGTTTGCACTTAGCTTCACAACATTTCACACTAGCATCTTTGACAATTTCTCCTCCATAATTTCTAGTATCAGATGGTGATGTGATAAGATGCATTTATCAGATTCCCTTGACAAAAGTCCAGGTACAATATTGTGATTAACATCCTAAGAATAAGCAAGCTCTCTCCATTTCTGAATTCTGGGCTGTGGATATCTGGTAACACTGAGGAATCCAGAAGAAGCTGTAGTCACACTTCGTAAGAGACAAAAAGACCATTCTCAAAAAGGTGTATTAGGGTAGAAAACTCTGGGTATCAACAAGCCTAGAAAATAATTCACTTGTATTTGAAAGGATACAGTGTAGGCTAAGATTTCTCCTGGCACTTCAACCTACAGTATCTCACTAATTCTCAAGAGCTTGGTATCAGTGTTGAACACCACTGACTACAGGAATAAGCCTTGAGGACTCGCCAAGTGTTTTTGAAATGAAAGAGCAGGTTACTCACTACAGCCTTCTGAATTTTATCTGAAAGGAAATGCCTTTTTATAAACATATTTTTGTATTCAGCTTCCTGAAGTCATTTTAGAACACAATAATGTTGGATACTGCAGAGACAATAAGCAGAAGGGTTATCTATGTATTTCCTGGAGATCAACCAGCAGAATAGCAAGGCAAATTTACAGGATATATTGACCTGTAGCTTGTAGAAGTGCTCACAACTGATATATAGCAGTGAAGACCTTCCTCTCCCTCCTCCAGACTTCCTACTTTTTTCGGAACAGGAAGACAGGTTTATAAATTGCAAAGCATCTTGTCAACAGAGAAATTAAGGTCATCTTACCAGTGTTTTTATTTGCATTTATTTTTAAGAGGAGTTGGAGATTTATTTCATTACTGATAGATTGTCAACACAAATAAGGACATAGCAGATGTTCTCCACAGATACATTGACCAGGAAGCATAAAGTTAGCTACTGGCTAGGAAAACCATAAAATATTCTTGGAATTACAGTTGTATAAATAGGCTTAAATCCTGGAAGAAAGGTTTTATTTCTGGATTTAGTCTTGCTTTGCTGTTCTTGGCAACTTATAAACCCATCTCTACCTCAGGATATTCTCTGCAAACATCCAAAAATAGAAGCAATCTTCTCTTGCAAGCCCATTACAATATAAACTTCGACACAGTTTTTATTTTCACCCTATCTGCATTGCAAGTGCCTATTTTTCTCAGAATTTATCTATGCCTCTCTAAATGAGGCCTCAACCCCCAATGGTGTGACTAAATGTCTGAAATTATCCAGAACTTCAGTAAATCATCAGCCTGATCAGATCATTACTGGTATCTCAAGCCAACCAAGTTCTAACCTCTGAAGCACCTTATTTGGACATACTTTTTTAATCCAACAGAATACCGTTAATACAAAGAATTCAGGAAGCAGCAAGATGTTGAAGGCCTCTGAGATGTTAAGTGCTACATATCTGTACCTGTAGATCTTTTTTGATGCAAAACAGACCATGAAAAATGAAGTAAGCATGATCTATGGGCATAAGCCTTTGCCAATCCCTTCCTCTTCAGTCTCCCACAAACCAGTTCATGTCTCTTGTGCTGCTTTATCTGACTAAAAGACAAGCCAAAGCCTGAAGAACTGCACTGATTCTGTCTCTCTTTTCAAATTTTCAATAAAATGGTGTTTCTTCCCCTTCCCCCCACATCCCTTCACCATCCTAGCAAAGGACTTATATATGATGTTTCCTTAATAGTTCATTTTCCCTAACTTCCCTCCTGAGTTTAGTTCTGCAGCTTCCTTTAATTTTACATGTTTGTGCATCTCTGGTCTTGTTCCCTTCCTGTTAAACTGCTGATGGATTTATGAACTCAGTCATTAAAGTCATCAGTTATTGTTCCTCTCTATGTCCACACCATAACAGGTCCTTCACCTTTTTTCTTTTCAGTTTCTTTCTCCAAACCTTTTTAGAAAAGTTTACTACCCAAACAATCACCAGAGTCTTGGACCGAGAGAGAGGTTCAAAGGTGAAAACACTGGAAGTCCTCTTTGGAATTCTAGATCGGTTTTGACAAGCAGCAAGGACTCCTGCTAACAAAAACTCACCAAAAAAAAGAAGAAAAAACTTTTCACATGCAGCATTACAACAAAAGGCACAAAGCATATAGCCCAGTCTGCTTACCCGAGTCTTCGCTATCATAGCAAGTTCTGCTATATTGCTGTAAATCCACCTGAGGGGGCAGGTCTTGTGTTGACACTGGAGTTCCTCTTGGATCTGCATACAGCAGCAGCAAAGGCTGATAGTGACCCTTAATGCACTTTGTCACAACATCTTTCCATTTCGGACCAATCTGAATTAGCAACCACCATAAAAAAATGCACAAGAAAGATTTTTCTCTCATCATTTTCTACAATAAGCTCTCTTTTTTTTCCCCTTTTACTACTTTCAGAGTTCGATTTTCCATTGACATTCTTTAACTCCTTTTATATCCAGCACTGAACTGGGCTCACCAAGAAAGCTCTGGGACCAATCCAACCAAAATCAAGGTATTCACCATCCTATGGCTAAACAAATTACAATTCCTACTAAAAATACAACCACAAAAATAATCCTTCCCTTTCAGATTTTTTTTTTCCATGAAAAGCCTTTCATCCTCTGAAATGTTCTAAATTTGCATCAATCAAAAAAAAAAATTTGTTAACAAAATTTCTTCATCTATCCATCAGCGTAAACAAAATGAACAATAAAAGACATCAACAGCATAACAGCAAATTCAAGTCAAAGCTAACTGCTTTGGTATGTGAATATTTCTGCTGTTACAGAACCTTTACAACCATTTTGATAAGCCAGGCAATAATTCATATAGTTAGATTAATCTCAAAAATCTTCCCCATGTACTAATAAATGTTTCTCCTAACATACTGAATAACTATTCCAACAAATTTGCTCCATATACAAGTATTCTACTAAAGCACTGCAGCACCTATCCTTGGTAAAGTATTGCCGCAGAGAAATGTGACTGTGAACAAATGCAAGGATTATAGTTTTCCCTTTAAGACTTTGCTTGGCGTGACTACAGGAGAAAATTCTCCTCTCATCTTTGTGCTTCCACAACTAGAAGGAATAAAAAGGAGAACAGTGTGAAATAATGCCAAACAAACTAATGGGATGTAATAACGGTGTGCCAAGATCCCAGCACTGGTATCTTTAATGTCAAGGACCTCACGCTTGGTCAAAATGGGAAAAAAAGCACTAACAGGAAAAGTGGAAACTTTGTTGTTGGCAGCAACCGCCAGGGAAGACTGGCATCTAGGGCACCTAGATATTTCTACAAAGAACCTAAAAAGCAGGCACGAAATAGCTACATTGCTTGGCAGCAAGGGAAAGACATGTATGTTAGCTGTGTGCACAAGCAAACTGTAGGTTTTCAAACAATAGCATAAAAGCAAGACTGGCAGCCAACATAACAGGACTACTGAGATTTCTGGTATGATTTTTTTGAGAAGGTTTTACTCATCTTAGAAAAAGGAGCAACAGAGTTACGGATCTTGAGTGGAAAAATTGTCAAAATTTCTCAAAATCCATAGATACCAGTATGGATCTATGCGCAAGTAGCTAATAAATTTCTAACAGATTATTTTTCTAAACATTATTTTCTCACCTCTTTGACATGAGCATCATCAAAGTACATCCACTTGCGGATTTTAGTTTGGAAGAAGAAGGTAGAATAATGTTTTCCATAGTAACAGATCATTCCCACCAAATACAGCTCTGAGTGTTTTGCTTTGTCATCAGTTACTCTGAAAAAGAGCTTCAAGAAGGGAGGTAAGAAAAATGAAAGGAGAAATTATCAAGATGCCCAGAATTTTACATACTGACTTATGTTTGAAGACCTCCAACTACTACAGAGAGGTGTCGGGTTTTTACTTCAAAAGACAGAGAAAACAAGGCAATAAATATTTAAGTAATTAACCACTGTTTAAGCAAACCCAGTGACACAGCCCAGGAACAGACTCCTACCAACTCACCAGATGCTCAAGGACTGAGTCAATCTTGGAGACTGTGGCTGTACTTTAAGGAAGACACTCACAATGATACAATACCTTTTCAGACTTTCAAGTGTGGTTCTATTCTGAAAATCTGTATTCTGTGTCATGCTTGCTGATTGTATCAAATACTGTTTAAAACATTAATTCCTCTTTGCTTTGTAGAAACAAAGCAGTTCTGACAGTGAAAAGTGGGCATTTATTCTGACAAAGATAAATTTATGACAACACCACATAAAAGATGAATTGAAGACATTAGTAGGTCAAAAGAATTCAGCACACAGAAAAAATTGTTTTCTGACTATTTAATTGACCATGTTTTATTTTAAAATGCACAGAACTAATTTTTTAGTGCATTACTGCTTTACTATGCAAGGACCACACTGTTTCATAACCACTTTTCTATCAGCTCGCACTAATTTTGGTACACTGTGCAATGAATTTTTTTTTAGTGTGTGTATAAAAGTTATTTTAATGTAATAGCTTGATGCTACAATAAGACATAGTTGCAATTCAGTATACCAATAATTCAGCTCTAAAGCATCAGCTAATATAGAATAAGTGAATCCTCTAGGGGACAAATCTCCAGACCCCAAACCCTACTTAATTTAATCTATCATTCAGTCACACAGTGCCAGCCACCATCTCTCAGAAACTGCTCAGTTATTTATAACTCTTAAGTGTTACAACCATACACTTCAATGAAAAGTGGATTTAAAGAAGTTTAAAAAAACCACCCAAACTACATTTTGTCTTCAAAAGAAACAGAAATAAACTTCTGTTCTTCAAAATGAAAGAGTACAAATGAAGAGTATGTATATTCATAGAAATAGCACAAACCCCAATCCAAAGTTTCCATGCACTTGACAATATTTTTTGATTCAGACAAGCTTTGTTTTCTGGAGTAATTTTTAATTTTCAGTCATTTCAAAAATAGGAGAGTATGTAATTATGCTAGTACTTGCACAGGTTTTGTGAAGCATTCAAAAGCAGATCAGATCCTTGGATCTGCCCTCTTTTCCTCTATTTATGGACACTGAAAAGGTAAAGGTGGACACTTTTTATTTTTCTCAATCCGCTACTATAGACTACCACAAGGAAGACTGTAAGTAGTGTCAAAATACAAAAACTCACATCTCCCAGTTTAAGGCAAGTGCCCAGACTGTGAATCACATCCTCAGCCAGATCAGAGTGGTCCGAATCCCAAACCAAGCCAATGGTGATGATTTGCGGAGAGTTCATCAGTACACGACGAATACGGATCTTTTCCCCACAGTTACTCTGAGGATTTAAATAAAACAAAACATTGAATGCAATCCTCCTATTATCATCATGTTAGGGCAAGGCACTAACACACAGAAGTTTCAAAAGGACTGCTTCCAAAAAAGTGGTGGTGAAACACAGTAGATATATGCTCAATGTCAAGATACGAACTTCTTATGTCACAGGTGAGGAGCATTATCAAGACTATCTGGTATTCACTGGTAAACACTGCTGATTCTTCCTCGTACTACTGATAATGATTAAAAGTTATAGCGCAAAAGTAGGCTTATTTAAAAAAAGATAAGCAAGCATACATGAAAGATCCCAAAAACATTCTTACAAATTGGAGGGAAAGCTCACTTTCTTTTGATCAGAATTTCAGATTAAAAATTATATTTACAGAGACTGATGTTTTATATGATAGTGTCAGAAAAACCTTCAAGGTGCTGCTGTTAAAATTGTGTGGTTGTTCTACAAGGTACCTCAAGTATCTCATCTTACACAGTACTGTTAGGTCAGTATTAATATAAAAATGAAAGTCCCTTTGCAACACTCATTTCCCCCTGTGGTAGGTCACAAAAGTACCTCTGCAAGATTCCAGGAAAAAAAAAACATTTTCATACTGAGAATAGTTTCTTGTCTCTACAGAGACCAGTTTCACAATTGGATATAATCATTCCTGACACTACAATCAGGGAAGATATCATAAAGTATTTCTTCCCCACAGCAATCTAGAAAATTAACCAAAATTTTAGTCCCAATTATCAATGAGACACAAAAATGAAAAATTAAAAAAAAAAAACCAACCCCACAACAGAAAGAAATGAGCTTAACAACAAAGCAATGAAGACAGCTTTTTTTTTTTTAACAGGTAGAGGGACTGTGAGCTTTAAATGTAGATATGAGGTTTTAATATTAAGTTGGCTACATTCATACATATTTTGCAAAGGTCATTCAAAGTACAAGCATTCCTGATAATGATCCCATGAGAAACCTATCTTACTCTCAAAACTGTTGTCTTTGCTCCAGCTAACTAACATCAGTGTTTTCTGCAAAACAGGAGGAATATGGCCATCTTGATAGAAAGCTTCCCTTGCATGACTTTCAGGCCACCCTTAGCTAAGCCTCAATAGAAAAATTGCCCAAACAGAAAAAGAAAGGGGCAGCAAGTACTGGTAAGCAATTTTATCCAATCAATTATTTCACAATTAAATAGCAGATCACCCTGACAAAGAATGTCTTTCTATTAAATTTCCCACGCTTTGGTTACTAAGTAGCTGGATTCACATGAATCTTTTAAACAACAATACAGTATCTTAGTTTCTTTTACTCAGATAAGTGAGCTACTATTTGCCAATATTCAAAAAAAAGAAAATTATGTTTCATTGGAGACTAAAAGTGAATGTTTCAGAGTTACAAGTCGCAGAAAGTGGGGGGGGTGGGTAAAACAGAAATACTTACACTGCCCCCAGGGAAAATGCACACAAGCCATTCCTGTTAGAGCCTGTATTGCTTCTCTGAGGACTGGTGAGGCATCTAACAGTAGCATTAAATGAAGCAGCAATTATGCAGCTGTTTCCTGCCCTACCTGTTAATCAATACGTAAAAAGGTTTGATGATACTCTTCTTGCATACTTATCTAAAGCCCTTGATCTGGACATACTCAAATTAAAAGGTATCAACCTCCTGCTTTAGAAACGCAGCCCTTACGATTAAAAAAAAAAATAATTTCATATTTACATGACAAATTTTTATTTTTCTTAACCTAACTGAATTTTGTCAGACTTTTACTGCATAGCAGAACGGAACATTTTAAGAATGGCGGCCTGTGACTATCAACTGGACATATGCAGTAATTGTTTTTAAGTCATTTAGCACCAGTCCTCACAACAACTACAGCCTGCACTTTCTGGTCAGTATCTCCCACACTCTGAACATCAAACCTCAATCAGAACAACAAACCAATGCTCCCTCAAGTTTTCTGTGACGATTCCTGCCTTTGGCATAGCTCTTGCAGATACACTGTGTAGCCTATAGGCCCTTCACTGACGGGATATTCTCTGGCAGTGGGAAGCGGAAGTCTTTTTCTCTTTTTTGACCAACATTTTGGCTGGTTGCTGCAGGTACAGCAGTTTGGTCAACAGTCCAATTTATTCCAACTGAAAGGTAGTAATGAAGTTGAATGGAAGTTTATCTAGGCAAAACAAGCAATCTTGTACACACTATTATTGTGACTAGTACAAAAGTTCTGCTATCTGTGCCATAGCATGGTACTGCTCAGAAGATTTTACAAGAAATAAGTACTTTTCTCATGCTATTATTACAGATGAAGCACACCACCCTCAACAGAAATAATCACCAGAGAAACTGGATGAACTGTGGGAATACTGTTCTAAAGCCTAGCTAATCAAAGCTTCTGTCAACATACAGAAATCTCCTATAAAAAGACACAACCTCCAAATTAATTGTAATTTCTGTTTCTTTAGGTAAAAGCCCAGAACTTTCATCACAAGATGAAAGCAGTATGATTGCAGTTTCATGTAATGCTAGTGTTGGAGGCCTCACCAACTCTCAGTGAAGTTGAACAGCAAACTTATGATAGGTACCTCTAGCAGCAACACAGGCTTGAACGGGAATGGATGTGTGGCCATTCCGTGGGAGCAACGTAAGCACTTCCAGTTAATTCCCACTCATTGCCTTTTTTCATGGTTTCTAACTCTGAAACATTAATTTTTAGTTTGCGTCCAAACACTATGTCTATTCCTGTTCTCACTACTTGTGTCTAGTCAAAGCAGCACTCAACATCAGTAGTTTTTCCCCTTCCTTCATTGAATAACTGAGAGGTCCTGAATTCAAACCCAAAGAAAACTCTTACCTATCCTTTTTATCATGATGAGCTAAACCTTGAAAATGCTCATGAGTTAAAGGTACACATCAGTGTAATCTACTAAACCTCTTCTGTCCTGTCTGACCCCCCACAAAAGAAAAATGAAGGATACTAACTGGACAGTTTCGCAGGTCTCCCATAGTGCTGGCATTCTGTAGTAGCTCTCCAAACATATCTGGAGTGGGTTTCTCTCGTCTCTCCAGCATACAAATAGCTTGATTGCTTCAGTATAGACAAAGCATGGAAAGCAAAAGTTTAATAATAAAATAAAAACACAAACCCACATTAAATAAGTATATGTCCCACTTAAATTTTGCAAGAAGTTAAGAACCCTAAAATACACAACACTTTTTATATTTAATATTGTAGTACAAAAAAATCACATAATTAAGTGTGAATTACTACAGCTTCCACAATAATACTGCATAAAGAAAAGAAGTAACACTTAAAATACAAACAGTTTGCAGTTTGGCTTAAAATTTACATCCTAAAAGCAAGCTTTAGCATTTTGATAAATATTTGATTTTAAAATGAACTATTTGCTTCAAATGTTTCCCTTCAGTAGCCACAACCCTAGTAAAGTAGCAAAGCACATCTGTAATAATAAAACTACAAAGAATAGCACGGTATCCAATTGATTTCACTGTCCAAGTTGAAAGAAAATGACAATAAGTACACATGAATACTAGTGCTCAAAGCGTGTTCAAGCTTAAAATGGTTTAACAGGTAAATATATCATTGTTTATTGGTGTTTTTAAAATAATGCATGACTTGAGATTTATTGAGATACTTCATACAAAATATTGAATACCATTTACATAACTATTTTCCTGGTTTTCTAATAAATAATATCCTGATACACAGTGTCTACTGGTAACCTGAAGAAAAATTACAGCTCGATGGAACAGCAGGTAGCAGCCACAAGGGGGAATGCTTTACAATACTCCTGATACACTGGTAAAGCGGTAGCTTTTAACAGAGATCTGCATAGAAGAGCAACTATCAGCGTTCAAGACAATTTTTTTGGGCTCTGTAATTACATCTCTTGCATGCAGGACAAAAAGCAAAGAGACGTTTTCATCCCAATCAAAATTTCAAAACAGAAGTGAGTAACAGACTCCTGCCTTGATCAGATTTAAGCAGCTTTTAACTGAGCAGCCACCTACTACTAAAAGAGAAGACTTGTCTCCTCTAGCATTCATTCAAACAAACTACTACAGAGCTAGAGCTATCGCTCTGTGCACCATCTCCTTTCACAAGAGGTCATGGCGACCAAGGGAGTTCCCCAATAACTAGACAAAGCAACAGCTACATCCATCCAAGAAACAGGATCTGAGGAACTACAGGCTGGTCAGTCTCGCTCCAGTAGCTCAGGCAATGACAGACCAAATCCCCTTGCAAATCATCTCCTAAATATGAAGGACAGGAAGGTGAGTCAAAGCAGCCAGCATGGATTTACCAAAGGCAAACTATGCCTGACCTACTTGATTACCTCCTATCATAAAATGATGGCTTCTGTTGAGGAGGCAAGAGCAGTGGATATCAATTGGTCTCTAGCAAGATTTCCAAGTCATCTACAGCATTCTTGTGGCCAAACTGGGAGGTATGGACTGCACAAGTAGAATATAAGGTGGACAAAAACCTAGCTGGACCTTCAGGCTCAGAGGATCAAAACACAACCAGCAGTCAGCTAAGAATTGTGTTCCTCAGGGGTTAATACTGGGGCTGATGCTATTTAACATTTTCATTAACAACCTGAATGATGAATTTGAGCACACCCACATCAAGTTTGCAAATGACAAAGTGGATAGAGCAGTCAATACACAGAAAGGAAGTGCTGCCATCCAGAAGGATCTTGATAGGCTGGAAAAAGGAGCTGCCAGGAACCTCACGAAATTCAGTAAAGGAAAATATAAAGTCTTGCACCTCAGACAGAGCACACTCAGTGCAGCAGTACTGGCTGGGCACTGAACAGCTGAGGAGCAACATGATAGAAAGCTCGTAGAGAAGCTGAACATAAGCCAGACTCTTTGCAGAAGCAGACAGAGAAAGGAGAAGATGCAAAAGATGCAGAAACAGAAATTCTGACTGGATATAAGGAAAAAAAAATCACACTGAGTGGTTAAGCCCTGGAACAGGCACCCCAGGGAAGTCATGGAAATTCTGTCCTTGAATGTTTGCAAAACTCAGCTGCACAAAACCCCAAGAAACCTGATCTAGCTTTGAAGTTAGCCCTACTTTGAACAGGAGGATGGAGTAAATGTCTAAAGGTCCTTTCCAGCATAAATTACTTTTTATTTTTCTTATCTTGCTTCTTAACTCACCTGCTCACATATTAAGGTCTTTCAAAATGTACACGAGTCCTTGCCACTACAGTTGTCAGGTTCAGAATCATAAACAAGTAGACACACTGATCCATGCCTAAACTGGTATCTTCTGCTCCACTAAATCCTCATGTTATTTATCACAGTTATCAAAGCTCCACCAACTCTGAACAAACCTTGTTCTGGACATTTAATCTTGTGAAGGTAAAGATCGAACTGCAATACCAGTATAAAAAAGAGAAGTTCTTTTCCCTGTAAAAATCTCAACTCACCAGAGTGAAGTTGTGGAAATATAATGTACCATCTGGATGAAAGGCAATGGGTCAGAGGTGGCACCACAGCTGGTACAAACACACTAAAGAGAAAGAAAATGTAATACATTGACAATATTAAACAGGTATTTCCACAGCAATACTTCTGCTTGTATCATTTTTACCATGGCAATGCATGTTTTAGGAATGAAAATTTGAAACTTGAGACCTGGTAATTTGCAAAAAAGCATATATTATTACCTCACCTGTTCAAACAAGGTCATTGCAAACTTCTGATGGGAAACACAATGTGGTGCAGTACAAATATCTTCCTTTGTCTCATCCGCAATGTGGAAGTGAATTCTCATTAACAGGTTTTCCTAGCCCAAGAGAGAAGAAAAAGCAAAAAAAGCATTACATCATTTCAAATGTAGACAAAAGTTAAAACATAAATCACAAAAGCATGTCAGATGCACTAATGTTATAAGAATTATTTATAGACAGAAGACCCCTGCAAATTTCTGAAAGCTGCTTAGAAAACTAGAAAAGAAGCTGGCATGTCTTTTATATCAAAGAAAATGGCTACCACTTCTGATTTGAAAAGCTATGTCAGGTAACCACTTATTTTATTTACTGGAACAGTTAGAGATTCTGTCACCGATTATTATGTACAGTTCTCAGGCATCTACGGATTTGACCAAATGTAACAGGCAGAGCAGATCTGCAGTTTTAAAATCACTGGCTTGTCACCAACTTCTCATCAACACACAGTAACCCAAATCAATTTCTATATTCCACAAGGGCTTTGAAATAGGCAAATAAGCTACATTTTATCAAAAAGGGAGAGAACTAATAGATGAAGAGGCAGACTAAATTCTGCATGAAATAAAAGCAGAGAACACTTTCTAGATATTATCTAGCATAACTCCATGTCTTTTCAAGTTCCCAGGAGTTCTTGCCCTAAGACCTCCTCTCATCTCACTGTTGCCAGCATTAATCTGGGTGTGCCAGAAGTCTACTGACACCTCTTCTAGCAGTACACTTTTCACTATCAGTATGAGCTGCCTGGATGGTTTATAGGCCTTCAATAAGCAGGTCAAGATTAATTATTAGGAAAAATAGCTCTGACCCTGTACAATTTCCCTTTAACTTTAGAATCTAAGCTCTTCTGCCATTTAAATTAAATCTCTGCCTTTAGGGCTGAAAAGGTTAACTAAGTGAAAAGCTATGGAATTATCTCTGCCTTAAAGCTTAACCTCAAATGGGAACTTGTACCTGTTTTAACTGTCCTTCTGCCAGCACGGTTAATGTAACAAACCTGCTTGTAGGAACTCCCGCAGCAATATTAGGTGAGGTATTTAGATGAGCTTTCTCAAGGAAGAAACTAAATCAAAAGTTCCTGTGTTCTACTACTACAGAACTCTGTTCAAGTGCTGAACTGGATACAAAGATTTGACATAACTGTGCTCACAAGGACTGTGTAGGCCAATGTCATTTATTTCATTTGGAGGTTTTACCGGTATGTTCTACTTCCATTCTAAGCAAGCTCATTAAACTATACTATTTCACTACACAAGTATTGTACAAACACAGGATACTTTGGGTTATCATAAGCTCATTAATCGGTTCACTTAGTTAGAACTGCAAGACCTATATGCATTTATCTCATTTCCAGGATCTCTTACAGTGCAAGTGTCAAATTAGGTAGGTATACGAAACGAAAGATTTAATATAAAGAAAGAACTCCACTCTGACAGGTGCTTTACCTGAGAGAATTTTTACCTTGCAGTAGTAAATCCAGTATGTTTGTACTTTGGTTAAGAATCAACATCTTTGTTAATAACCAAGTAGGATACAAACACACTTGGGCCACTGTATTATCACCATCATTTCCAAAAAACGGAGCAACCAATAGGTCATCCAGACAAAAATACCTCCTCATTAAATTAAACAAATTTAGGAGACTGAAGAAGGAAAAGAAGGAAACATTAAATGTTAAAATCTTAATGTAACAGATGTTGAAAAAGAGTTTAAGTACAAAAAGAGAGCAGGTGGGTAAACCTAGGGATGTAAGATTTGCGTAAAAGCCATCTCCTAACTACACTGGTGAGATAATCAGCGTAAGAAAATATTGCCAGATGGATTACAAATAAAACAACAGAAATATTTGGAGATGATCCATTTCACTGTTGCTTACCTCAGCCTACAAACATAAACAACTCTGTTGCGTTGTGTTTGGTTTATTTATTTATTTTTACTTTCACTTAGCTAGAATTTGAGAAAACACAATTTCAGAATTTGAGAAAACACAATTTCAGAATAACTGGCAAACAAAACGTCCTTTTACCCTTTTGAGGTGATCATTAAAACTAGAATCCTGGATCACTCCACAGTGCCATTTTTTTACAATTCATTTTCAAGATGCACTTCAGACTGCAAGCATGACATATGCAAAAGCAGCTGTAAAAACAGGTAACACCTGATGTTTCCATTTCTAAATCATTAGTGATGACTCTCAAACCAGATACTCATTCCCTACTGGATCACTTCAAGCTTGGGTATCTCTCTGCGGGCTTTTTGAGGCCACAAATGCAAGGTCTGTTGGAATCTGGGGAGGGGAGGAATGAAGAGAAAAAAAACCACCAAAAATATGATTGTGTAGTGGGGGTTCCCATCTATGCCTGTCAAACCATCTTTCAGTTATACTCACAAAACATTCAGCAGCATCATCCATGATGCCCAGCTGGAAGCGCTGCTCATCCTGAAACGTCTTTGCAAGAGCAGTGCGCAGGGCATCAGAAGGTAGTACCTTCTCACTGCTACACTGAAACTGGTTGAAGATACCCTAGTAAGGAAACAAAAAGATAGTTAAGTTGTATTTTCAAAACATTACTCAAGTTACCTGAAAACAAACAACAAACCTTTAACTCATTTTGATCAAGCAACACACAGATACTTGTATCATACAGGAACTACAAGATAAAATCCTAAAAGTTCCTCCTTTGAAATAATATCCACCTTTGTGTATTCCTTGCTTTCCTTTCACATATCCAAGGGAGGGTGGGGGGCTCAGTGTCCATTCCCCTTGGATCTTCCTCCAAATTTGATTCCTGAAGCAGATAAAACGGACACCAAAACTTCTTCACTTTTTATTCCTACTTCTCCCTCTCCAGTTCACTTTTCATCCCACCTCCATAGGTTTCTTCTTACACATGCCACCTTCTTTCCTCTTTCAAGCAACTCTTTCCGAATGTCTTAGCCCTTAAACAGCCACAACCTGCTTGCACTAAGGAATTCATCTTCCAGTAAGTCCAAGAAGTGGGTAAGAATTAGATGATGTTTGGGTCAGCATGCAAGAGAGAAAAGGCACAACATGAACAGCCGTTCCTATGTATGGCCAGCTGTTCACTTGCTGCCATAAACCCACATTTTCATGACCGTAAATCATAGGTCATCTGGGTAATCATTTGCGAGGACGAGTAGTTCTATAAAGACGCATTATCGTTTAACATGTGGGTTATATGCATAGAAGTTCAGAACATATTCCCAACTGAAAAAACTCTTTTCTGTGTGTGCGTGTGTATGCACGTGCACATGTGTAAGATATACAAAAGACCTTCTGAACAGTTAATTAACTTTCATTGTGCCCTCCTACAAAAACATAAGCATAATTCTGTATGCAAGGTCCTCAGTTTAAGTAAAAACTTCTAGCCCTTATTTTCATACAAGACCCTTCCGTATCCATCACTGCTCTGCTCTACTTGATACCTCATTTCGTATGACAAGCAACCATCTTCATCAGTGTGAATCTCAAAATTCTGCTTGTCCTTTCCTATAAAGCTTTCCTCACAATTTCCCTAAATATTGCAGAAAAGCTCCATTCTTACTGCAGAGAAAATAAGGATCATCTTCAATTGTGCACCACTTGGCTTTTCTGACTTCTAAACTTATTCAAACAAGGAGAAAGCCAGCCTCAAACTGGTTTGCTGCTTTGGTTTTCTTTCAAATCTATACTGAAAATCTGTAGCAATGTCGATTCATGTATCACTTTCTCCTCTAATTACAGAAAGCTTCTCCCCAGCACACTTAGGATCTAAATTAATTGGAAATAAGTAATCTGAATCTTTCTCTCCTTTAACTATCCTTGTTTGTTTCTTATCAGGAAACAAGCAGCTAAACTGGGAGAAGGTTTGCCAAACTGCAATCTCAGCTGCTTTGAGGAAGCTGAAAGAGTGCAGAAGAGCTGTCGCTCCACAGCCACCAAACCAACCTCCATACCCACCAAACCAACCTCCATACCCCTGCCATTTCTGGCTGTAGGAATAGTACAATTTATAGTGTTGACATATTACCTAATATAGATGTAAAATGTCCACTTCTCTTTACTGCTATTTTTATTTTGGTAGTCCTTATGATGCCCATATTCATGGGTGAGGGCTTACTGTGGTGAAGCCCGTAGCTCTTCTAATATTGCCTTTATTAGAATACCAAATAATGATGAGGAAAGTGGTAATGAAGAGAAGGCTGTGAGGCAGTAAGTCTCACACTTCATGAATTACATACAGACAATACCTCTCCTCAGTTACCTTTTATATATACATATATAAAAATTGAAAGAATGATAAAGTCTCTGTACTTAACCTTGATTCCCATTTCTGTCACTGATAACAGAGCAAGTTTCATGTTTCATTAGTAGATTTTCTCATTTCAGTGGACCTCAAAAAAAAAAAAAGCAGTGAAACGTAATTCCATCCTGCTTCAGCACTTTACATTAAATAATTTAAGAGCACTTGAAAATGTTCATGACTGTGCTTTAAAAATGTGTTTATTCTGGTTATCATCAAGTGCTTTAAAAATGTGTTTATTCTGGTTATCATCAAGCTCACTTCATATATTTGGAAACTAGGCACTCGCCTAGTGACTGGCACGCAACCTCACTGCAAGGGACTGATGGACAGGACAGAGTTTACTTCAATGAGAGCTTGGAAATGGCTCTGCACTCTTGGTGAGGAGACAATCAGTGCAGGCTCCAAACTAGGTAAAAGCAGAAGCAAGCAAGCAAACCAAAACTCTCAGTTTAAATTTCCATTTTTAAAGAAATAGTATACTTTACTTTTACCCATAACATACCTACTAGTTAACGTAAAGAGATCCCATAAGGAAAAAGTGATCCTGATGACAGGCAACTGTTTTTCACAAGATTCTGCATTTTTAATTATTTTTTTTGCATCACAAAATAATTACAGCCTTTACAACTAACCCCAAAAAACTTTCATTAAATATAAAGAGCAGAAAACTGTGAAATCTGTTACCACAACCACAGAATAGAAATAATTTAGCAACATCAAAGAATTCTGTGAAGAATTCTAATATGTAAAATCAAGGAGTAAAAGATCCCAGTATCATATAGAAGAATGCTTCCTAAAATTTACTATGATATAGCACACAATGGTATAGTCTTATTTAGATTATAAGGAAAAAATATCTTAAAACCAGTGAATAATTGTGCTTTTTAATCTAATAAAGATCAGGTTTTATCATCTCATTGCACAGTGCAGTTTAAATGATATCGGAACATGCCTGTAGGAGTCCCAAAAGCATCTCAAATGGAGTCAAAAGCACTTTCAACATAGCAGGGTTTGGGTTTTGTTGGGGTTTGGGCTTTTGGTGGTGGGTTGTGGGAGTTTTTTTTGGTGTGTGTGTGGGATGTTTCCTCTTTTCCCTATTTTTCGAGCTGTTCTCTGCTCACCTTCAGAACAAGTCTTTCTTGTCTCTCAGCCTTCAGATGGACAGGTGTGGCACTTCCTGCAGTTTCATCACTTTAAGTTATCTAAGTCAGATCTCTCTCCTTAATTTCACATCTTGCCCTTGAGTGATAATGTTAATCACTAACATATTTGTTCCATATACAGGTCTGAAAGCCAGCTGGGTGCAGACCAGGAAAGCCCTGCCAATTCTGCCCTAGGAGTTTTCATAACACCTTATCTCCAAGTGCTTCTGAAACTTAATGAGAACTTTATATATAAAACATTCAAACTTTGTTCTCTTTCAGAAGCTTCTTCACTTGAATTTGAAGATAGTGAAAACTCCATTAGTACATTCACTACATTGATGATCTCTCTCAATGGCTAAATTCCAACACAAATGAGCGCACCCCTAACAGCAGCAACAATATGAAAAGACACTCCTAAAAGCTTCACGAACAAAGGAGGTCTCTCCTATTTTACGAGTTTTCAGGAACTAAAAAATCAAGGATGCAGAACCAAAACCACCCCAACTACCCATACATTAGCTTAACATGAAATCCGAGCAATAATTAATATTGTATTAGCAGCAGTACTTTGATTTCAACACTGATGGCCTATTCTTGCCATGTTGGTAAGTCTATGAGTCAAGACAGAACAGCATAAGCAAGAGAGATTTCAGATAGGAAGTATGACTTCTGGTTACACCGCATTCCTGAGGTCTATATAAAAAAAGAAGTCCATCTCCCTCCATTATCCCCTTCCCTACAGATCTCCAAAGGTCTGGAAAGAATCGCACACACAGAAGAATTAGGAAGCACACCGTTTTTTAACAGGAGTAAGTTGCCAAAGTCCATCTAGTTGCACCTAGTTCTTCCTAAAGCAGTACGCCAAGATCAACTGCAATTAAACAGTTGATCTTTCACCAGCTTGCTCTTAGCGGCACCCAAATCTGGAAATTCCTTAACCATCCCAAGCAATCTACTGTAAGGCCTCACTTGGCTTATTACCATTCAGAAGGCTTTTTCCTAGTTTTGTAACTGGAAGCTTCATGTCCTTTCTATTACAGGTCTGGGCTTCTGACATACGTCAGAACAAAGGCTTGTAGAGTCAGCGGTCTCCCAAAATAATCTCCAGTTTTGGAAATGTGGGGATCAACACAAACTTTCTAAAGCTTTAAAAGGAAAACAACCTAAAGTTTGAGACAAGGAACCTTGATTGTACAACTACTCAAGTTAAAACCTGGCTTTCCATTTCATAAAATTCACATGCATGACCATAAACCGATTTGTTCTTCATTTGGTTAGAGAATAAAGATAGCAGTTACTCTTTTAGGTAATTCATAGGTTTGACATTTTCTTTTAAATTTTAAAGATTTAGAAGCTTAAGTATCTGTGAATCCCCCCCATAGTGTACAAGATCTGCTCCAAATTATCTCTAATAGTGTTTGGAATCCATTTTCTCCCCAGGAAAGAAGTACTCAATTCATTTGGGATAAACTGAAATCTGCAATGTGTATCTAACCATACCAATGAAACAAACCCCAGACTTGATACACACGCACATATGACACTTAATCAGGCGCGTAGAAGCAGGCTGGCATAAGAAAAAATTGATGGCTGAAGACAACAGGCAATAGCTACTGAATCAGATCAGTGTCCATGCACTATAAATTTGAGTTCTGTCCTTAGCAGCCTTATGAGAACTAATTATTCTCTTCCAGCACTGTGCAGAAGTTCCTTCTGGACGGGGATATCGCTGCAGCTCTAGCAATATCTTCTTTCAAAGAAGAAAACATGTCGCCCCCCAAATGGTCATTAACATTAAGTTACTACATTAACAGTTCCTGCCTTTTAGCAAAAGCTACAAATACTAACATGGCCAATCCTCATCCTTCTCTCACTGCTCAACATGTCAGTTTGTCACTCAATTGTGACAGTATTTCTTCTTTAAAAACTTTCTCTCCATTTCACTAGCACGCCCTTCTTACTTCATTCCATTCAGTGGGCTTTTTTTTCCTGTCTACAGTACCAAATTGTTCACCCAGAACATCACAGCCTCTTGCTGAGTACAACACCCTGTTTCAATAAAAATTCTGGCT